CATATTCGTATTAACACAAGGGTTATTGTTTATGAATATTTGAGGCAAAAGTTGCTTAAAAATAGCAATTTAAATCAAAATTTTAAAAATAGATAACGCAACTTAAAATTAAATTTAAATTAGGAAAAAATCCTAATCAAATTAAATTTTGTCATCCTCCTCTTTTGCCTGGCTTTGTATGCCTTATTCACTTTGTTCACTATAAATTTTTTGAATAAATTAGAATTTAAAATTAAAAAAATTTTATATTCAATGTTGTTTTACACTGAAAAACTTTTTATTACAAACAATTTTCTTAGCTACAAGTTAATAATATACGAAATTCTAATTTTAATCCTCACAATTTTTTTATAATTTCAATAGATTTCAATACACATTTCCTTTTATTAAATAAAGAAAACTACTCTACAAAAGGACTTTCTCTTTTCGTTAAAAAAAAAACACTCTAAAAGTTTTCTTTGTAAGCAAAACAAAATATTATTTTTTTATTCAAAATGGAATTTAATGATAAAAAAAGGTTCATTACATAATAGGAAATAAGAAAATCATTACCATTTAAGAAAAACATCCCTCTATGTGAATTTCAAATAAAAAGTCACAATAAAATTCATCCATTTCGAACCTTTTAAGAAATAAATAACAAAACAATAGAACTGCCTAAAAGTAAATTGATTTCTTTACAAAATATTGAAAAGTGTTAAAACTTTGGTTGATTTTCTATTTTATTCCAAAATTCAGACATATCCGGTATTTAAAATTATTTTAGACATTTACTTGACTTAAATTTTAAGTAATTTTAGCATTTTAATCGCGTAATAGTATATCTCGAAACTACAATTTTTCAGATTACATTCGACTTTAAGACGAAATTATTTCGTTATTTCTAATAAATTAGTTTAGTAATGATTTTAAACCGTTCTTGTTACTCTATAATCTTCCGATAATAAATAGGATCCCTTCCTAATAAAACAATTCCTTGTTTTAGTCAGTTTGAGCACAAACTGCTAATTATGTTGTAAGCCAATTTTAATTTAATTTAACGTACTTTTTTTCCCAACTTCAATCAAAAATTTAAAACTAAACTTGAAATTAAAAATTAAAGCGTAATTTAAAATTGGTTCTAAATTACTTTAATGAATACATACGAGTTATTCGTCTTTCTTTGTTATTACATTAAGGAATAATTTCTTAATAAAATAACGAATTTATTGGTTCAATTTAAATTATTTATATCAAACGTATATATTTAACAAAATCAAAAAATTATTGAATTGAAAATACGAAAAAAAAAAAAATGTTTGATGTTGTGTTTTCGTCTCCATAATTTCAAAAAATTGAAATATAACAAAAAATTTTTTAACAAACTTAAAAATATTTAAAGACAGGAAGAATTTTTTAAGATCCCATGTATATGTATATGTGTGTATGAAATAATAATGACATATATAAATATATGTATAAAGCGTACAGAACCTGAAAGTTCCCATTTACAAGTAAAAGAGAAAAAGGAAGAAAATATTTCCAAATTTTAATGCCGACTAAACAGAAAAAAATTTTCACAATAATTTTCCTTCCGAATGAAAGTGAAAGAAAATTAAAAAGATAAAAAAGGCAAAAGAGAAAAAAATCCATAAAAATCAAAGATAACAGAGGGCACTGAACTGTATAATATTTCAGAAGGAATAAAAATTAAAGCCTACAATTTAAGTTTGAATTTTTATAATAAATTACAAATTATGGCAATTTTAAAGAATATACGCGTATACGTAAAATAATTATAAAGCAAAATTTCAAAGAATAAATGAAAAGAATTTTGTACAACATTGTAATTTTTTGTTTGTAAAGTTTTTTTTTCATTTTTTAATCTTTAATTTTTAATTAAAATCACTTTTTATTCCAAGAAAACACAAATAAAATTATTATAATGTGTCATATTAACGAGAAAGGATAAGTAAGATAAAAGATTTGAAAAATTTAATAATCTTAGAATTTTTATCGCAGTAAGGAAAATTTTAAAATTTAAATATTCAGTATTAGGAGCTCCGATCGACATGTACTTACATTTATTTGAAAAAGTATAGAAGCAATATTACAAAATTCTGACAGAATAATCTCAGGCCTATCTTATTTAAACAGTTATATATAAAAATAGGTACTATTGCACATCATTTATGGAGAAAACTGTGAATTACTCAAATAATTAAATTAGAATGTTAAAAGTATAATCAGAATTAGATCTTTTTCTTCATTTGAAATGGAAATCACTTTTTATGATTTAGGCTCGAAAGGAAGTTTTTTTAGGATTCTTTAATTTTAAATTTTAAATTCAAGCAAAAACAAACAAAAAAAAAATCTTTCTACTATTTTTTTCCGAATTCAACTTAATTATGATATAAGTAATTAAAAATTTTAATCATTTCAAGATCTACAATTTACATTCAATTAATCACAATAATTATTCCATTCTTTCTTCTTACCTTATAGAAAATTCCATCATTATTTCGAAATTCATTCCACGACAACACTTTAAATTGAAAATTTCTTGTATATAAAATAAAAAAAAAATAATAAAAATGAAGCCAATACAACTGAATTAATTAATTTAATTGTTCCTTATTGTAGAAAACCAACGAATGTAAGAAGAATAAAAATTTTCCATTTTTTCCTCTAATTTATTCTAAAAATTTTCATGAACTTTTTCCTCCTTCCTCCTTGTGGCGAATTAATCATTTTTTTACCCTGATAATTATTGTTTATACATGAAAAAAAGGGAGGGGGGGGGCTTTTTAAGAGAATGTGTATACGTACATTTGAGTTTCAACAATTACAACTACATATATACACACATACATGTGTTTCATCAATTTATTATCATTTTGTACATACAATAAGTATGAATGTATATAGACCTTAGTTAAGAGAATTTAATCGAAAATAAAGTTTAATTTAATTTCATTTTCTTGTGCCGTTTTCGTTTTTATTTTGTATCTTGTGTTACATGTCACATTAATTTGCAAACGATGATGGCAACTCCCGTTTTTGTATATGAAAAGTTAATTTAAATGTATAATAATCTCAACACTTAAGTTATAACTTTTTTCATTTATGTAAATAATTGAGTTGCTTTGAAAAATATTATTGTCATTACAATCCTTTGAAAAAACATCAGATTTGAATTGATAAGAAAATAAATTAAGATATTTAAAGAAATATTGCATATATTTCGGCGTAATGAATTACTGATGTGCTGATATTTTCATATTTGCTTTGCCGTGTACCCTTTTAAAAATTATTTTAATAATTAAAATCAAATTGATGTTCAAATTTAGGAAAAAAAAAAATGATTTCTGAAATTTAAAAAAAAAAAAATTCTCTAGCGATACGCTCAGAGGCCTTCTTTATATAATTGTTTCATAATATTTGCCAACAGTTTATTCTAAACTAAATTTCACTTACATATTCTTTTATTATTCTTATCCTAAATAGAAATATTTTGCTATTTGCATAAATAAATAAAACTATTAGAAATTTACATAAGCAAAATAAATAAATATTTTCGGTCATATTATAAAATAATATTACAAAATCCGATTTCGAACACAAGTAAGTATTATTTCATGATAAAATATCATTTTTAGCACTATTTAACTGTTAGAATCAATAACCAGAAAAATCGAAACAACAAAAATGTAATCATATTAAAAAAATTACAACACGTACAACGGAAGGACATGGGAAGATAAATTAGGAAAATGATTTTTCTGTATGTTTATGGATACAACTATTGTTATTTATATACTTTATGTTTGTGATATTTACCATAATATCCATTTAACATTCAAAACTGTTATTTAATAAATTGATTTTTCCTTTGTTAAATTTAAAGATGAATAGAACTAGTCGCCATCACAACATAATTTTTAATGGTTGATTAAATATCATTTAATTATGATAAAGAGAAGAATTTTATTTTAACTTCCTTTTTCACAAATTTTCATTTCCTTCCTTTACAATCAAGTTAGAAATGTATCAAATTATGTTGATATAGCAACAATTGACAAAAATACCAGTTTTTGAAATTAATTAATTTCAAATAATAATTATTGTTGAAAAGGAAAATTTTTGTCAACAATAAAAAGTTTATAAAAAGATCACTTTGCAAAGATTTAGTTTATTTAATTGTGTTGTGATTAAAATTTATAACAAAGATTTGAAAAAAAAAAATGAAATTTCACTAATTGCTCATTCAGTTGTTCTAAAACTAAAATTGATAATTTCTTCAAAAATAATTAAAAATTTTTTGTTAAGCGTAAAAATTTTTCATATACCGTAAATGTAAAAACGTACTGACAATGTCTATGACAAAGACTTCTTAACAACAAAAGCTTAAATCAGGTAAAAATACCATTACCATTTCCTTTTGCATTTGAAATGTCAGTAATTATTTCATAAGTATTTTTTAATAGAATTTATTTTCCACTTCAATCCCCTTTAACTATACAATTTTTAATGAGCAATAAAAATCACTCTAATCATTATATATTTGTTAACAATTTTTTCAAATAAAATTTTAATTTTTATGACTATTAAGTGTTAAGAATAAAATGACCGATCCTCATTTTCTTTGTCTTAAAAATGTTTCGCGTGATATAAAAATATCATGACGCTTTATCGTATTAAAATTTTAACTGCAAAATCTCATACCATTATAAATAAGTTCATTGGGAAATTGCAATTAAAATTGTCAACTATTAAAACATATTCGTACAAACACAACTTCTATATGATTGTCTAAATATAAAATAATTTAAAAAATTTATTCGTATAATATTTACTTGAAATTTATAAATGAAAACTTAATGTAAAAAAATTTTTAAAATTTCTCTTAAAATATGGAAAATAAAAGCATTTTTGATCTTATTAAATACGAAACACGTTGAAATCTTAATAAAAATCTAAATTTTTATAATTTATTTAAAGGAAAAATATTTTCGACTTACCTTATTAGATAATTAATACAAACAACACTTTGTGGTTTTTGTTTATCATAAACAATTGTAGCCTGTGTTACCAGCCAACAATAACCACCATATTTACCAAGAAAACGATAACGGCATGTTTCCCCTTGTCCCCTGCTAAGAGCTGAAAGTAAATGAATAAAAATTTTATTTATAAATAAAATTGAATTAATTTTAAATTAAATATATAGCATTGTTTATTCTTTTAACTGCATCTCAATGAAAATACAAAAATTCTTATAGCTTTGCCAAATTTAAATATTTTTCTCAAAAAATTGTCATTCCACAACATAGTTTAACTTCTCTTAATAGAAATGCATGCATTAAAAAAACTACTTTATTAAAACTAAATTTTTTTTATTTTCATATTCCTAAAATCCTAGAGAAGGAAATAAAAAATTTATATTATTCGTCGTGCATTCTAGAAGACAAAGTTAAATTATTATGAAAAATTAGGAAAAAGTACATAATAATTTCAACTCCAGACTGCGAATTTAAGGCTTTAGCACATTGTCACTCCTACATAATGCTCTTCTTTTTGTTGTTTTTCCAAATTTATTTTTTTTTATATAGAAGAGAAGGAAAGACAAAACTAAAAATTAAATTTCAAACTTTTATTTTATCTAAGCATAAGAGAACGCGTTTTATTTTTATCACTTTTGATTTTTATACTGCCCCAGAAGGAAATGTTGATGGTGTTTTCAAAAAAAAAAAACAAGAGAACAAAAAAAAATAAATGAATAAATAAATAAAGTACAAAAGCTATGAGATAGCAAAATGTATAAGCAAATTATAAACCAGGTAGTTGAAAAAAAAATGTAAAAACTCAATGAGCTTATTACAAACTTCACTTGGGAAATGACACAGTAGAGCACTTGAAAATTGTTTTTAGTATAAAGTGCATTTTTCACTAAAAGAAAAATGCAACACAATATGAGAAAACTTTTTATAGGTAATTTTAGTTTAGTAAAATGATAAAAAGTTTTTCATAATCTAAACGAGTTTTTAAAAAAAAAAAATGTTTTTTTTTTTTGTTTTCAAAATTGCAAATTGGTTTTTCTTTTTTAATGTTTCGTCTGGAAACTGTTATCATGGCATACAAGAAAAAAAGAAATCAAGTAATATTTTAAAAAAATTAAAAATTAATTTGGAAAATTGTACAAAATAAATTTTTTTTTAATAAAATTATTTAAGTTTTTTAATTTAATTTTGAACTTTTGTTATTAAGGGTATAAGGAGTTTTTTTTTCTAACCAAATTAATTTGCTAATGAGCTAAGGAACTTTTTAATTAAAAACAAAATTTGGTTATTATTTGCAATAAATGGAAGAAAGTCTGCCCAAATTACCAGCTCTTATATTAAAGAATTCACAATATTTTTAAATGGAAATGAAAAGCAAATACTCAAATCCTGTTCTCAATTTTTCTGAGAAGAAGATCATTTAATGATTGTGGTATTCAAAGCTTCACTTTTATATACATATGTAAAGTACAAGAAAAATTCTTTCTTTTTTCAGACAACATAATTTTTCTCTTCCCTTATTTCATTGCAAATCTCCTAAAATCTGTTAGCAATAAATATGTTGATGGTTCTATGCAAGAAAACAATAAAATGTATTTGTGCCTATTACTTAATTTCAAATAAAAAATGAAATTAAAAATTTAATATAAAATTGTTTTAATAAATAAGTGAAATTCTTAAATATAAAGCCTATTTCTATTATAAATGCAAAAAATAAATTAAAATGCACATCTGTTAATTTTAATAAAACATTTTTCGTGTTCTTACTTAATCATCTTTTTAATAGCCTCAAGTTTTCTCATATTCTTAACTAAAATGTTAATAGAAAAAAAATTTCCACCATTTAAAACGACATTTTTCATTCAATATGAAACAACAGAATGAAAATCGTAAAATAGATCGTAAAAAAAAAAAATTAATACTTATTTTGACACCTGCAATAAACGTCGTTGACCTTTAATTAGTATTTCGTACACCTAACATATATGTAGAACAATTTCTATATTATAAATGGTTTTATGTTTCAACACAAAATATTTAATCGTTAATCTAATTTATTATTGGTTCAAAAAAAAAAAAAATTCGATTCAATTTCCTCAATAAAATTATTTTGTCCAAAAAAAAAAATATGGAACAGACACCTGAATCATTTCTTGCTCCTTCAATTAAAAAGAATTTTACTACGCACTTACAATCAGCATTCGAAATTTTTTTATATTGGTAATAAAAAATAAAAAGAAAGTAATTTTTGGTTATTATGGATTTTTCTTATCATGTTAAAATTTTATTTAAAAAACAAAACAAGAAACCTTACAAAGGTCACACAACATAAAAAGTTTTAAAGAAGTACTAGGTATACAAGGTAGTATTTTAGATTGACTGTATGACGAATTACACTTTAAATAACAATTTTAACTTCTTGTACACGTGCCAATTATTAAAAAATTGTATGCCTTTATTGTAATTTTATAACTTTTTTTTTATAACTTTTATATCCTTGTTAAAATAAAATTTCAAAATTTAGCTATGAAAAGAATAAACGAGGAGAAAAAAAAATTTAGTTAAAATTTATCACCAAAAAATACTTGTAAAGAAAAAATATTACACAGAAAATAAAAAATCTAAAACAAAATTCAAAGAAAATTATACTTTTGTTAGCAATTAAAATGGTAAGTTGATCCCCAATTACTCTATTTAAATCTTTATCTACAAAATTTTAAATGGAATTTTATTATCTTCAACATTAAACTAATTAAAAAGAGACTATAGCGTGTTGAGTATATTTATTTCTTAGTGTCCCGGTTATGATACCAAAAATATCTACCAATTTTTAAATAAGTTATCAAAAAATTTTTCGATTTTTTGACTCAAATTATTAGTAAAGTTTACACTAGAAGAAGGATACTACTAGTCCAACATTATTAATAATTAAGTATTTAAGCGAAATATGAAAAAAGTATGCGAGACACATTTAAATTACTTTCATTACAGATCTTGTGCTGTAACACTTCCAATAATTTTCATTTTGAATTCTCTAATCTAGCTTTTTATCAAAGAGTAGCTTTAAAATGGCCAACAACTACTTACTGTTGACAAAATCATAATTGAATCAAATGAAAATTTCATATGTACATACGTAGTTATTTTCAAACATATTTTTATATCTACAATTACAATAAGTATATACACAGTTATAATTAATTTTTAGTACAAAAAAAAAGTACCATTTTTCTTCTAATTTACATACAAATTTTTATTTATATTCCTACATAATAAATTATTTATTAATTTAAGTTCAGGAATAATTTCCTTTTGTCATTTAGAAATTATTAAACTCTATATGATTCTTTGTCATGTTACATTTTATATTTCAAATCAACACCCTCGCATAAACGAAAAACCATATCCTTTATTTTTATATATATACAATTTTATGAATCATGTACAATAAAAAAACAAAAACAACAAAAAAAAGGTCTCTTTTTCATACATAATATGTGTTGAAGTAATAAAATTTTATTTATATTCTAGCACTTACACATACACACATATGTTTTAACAAATGTAATTACAATTTTATATATAAACCATTCACAACCATATGCCATTCGTATATGAAAAATTTTCCTTAAATTTTTTCTATTTAATATCTTTATACCTAAATATTTAAACAACATGTGTATATGAATTAGAAAATACATAACGTATTAATTTTTTCCGAAATAACTGGTTCCTAGAATCCATTTTCATTTACATATCCTTTAAAATGTTTCATAATGATATTTCATTAAATATATAGAGATTACTAGCGAATCTAACTGATTTCAAGAAAGCTGTATACTAGATCCAGAAGTTAAGAATAATATTTAAGGAATGAATTTCTCTAAATATTTTATTTGACAAACATTTTCTTAAGAATCATATTGAATTATATACAAATTGTATCCCATAATTTTTATACGAAATAACATACTCATTTTCTTTAAATTAATGCATACACATAGATACAAATTATTATATATATTAGAGAGAAAAAAGAAATATAAAACATTGTAGAACTTTTGACCAAAACCATAAAAAAAAATTAAAAATATATTTAAGAACATAATATATAAATATTTTTGTAGATGATTACAAAAGTTGTCATATTGTTTTAGAAATGTTATATGAATATTTATTAATGTCGCATAAAAACATTACTGATATAATGCTATATTATATGCATATTATATAATTTTAGAAAATAGACAGGACATTTTGAAAAGTCTTTGTATTAAAAAAAAAAATTATGTTTGGTGTGTTTCATTTATGATCATTTTAAATAATGGAAATTCATCAAACAGACTGAACTTCAAACTATTATTTAAAATTCGTACTATAATAGTTCTCATGAACTTTTCACAATTAGACCCGAAAATCCTATACGAAATTATAGAAATTTACGGCAATAATGAAAAATTACGAATTCACGATTTCGCAGAATGTTATAAACGCAGCCATCTTTTTCTGGAAATTTTAAATCAAAACATACTCATTATGTAACTACTGCAAAAAGAAATTTCAACATTACTTAACATTAGCAAAACCTTCTCTCCTTTTGCTCTTTCTAATAAATATGAATGAAAATGGTGCATTGTAAATTATTACAGTGCAGCACCTTGTACTTTTCTTGATGATAAGGGTTAACAGTATGGTACATTATAACAATAATATAAAACATGAACAAACACATGTAGTTTTCATTTTCTTTTCTAATAAATACAAGAAATATATATATGAGTTAAGAAACCATTAGAATATGAATATTACCCAAATCTGTATAGTGTCAACTGTGACATACTATAAAAATATAAAAGTTCTCTTAATATTACTTTAATATTGTTATAAAAATATGAATGATAAAATTAAATAGTAAAGTTACAATTTTTTATATTTCATTTAAGAATATATATACATATGTATGTGTCCCATTCAATAGAAATAGATTTTCCCCCAAATAAAAAAAATTCAATTTATAGAAACCACGATACCAACGTATTTAACTTTAAAGTATTTGAAAGCCAAAAACTTTAATATTGGAGAAGTAAGGAACTCAAGTTTCAT